CAGGAATTGGGATCGGGATCGGGATTTTGGATCCCATCCTGACCCCGGCTTTCCGTGCAGGAATTGGGATCGGGATCGGGATTTTGGATCCCATCCTGACCCCGGCTTTCCGTGCAGGAGCTGCGGGCGGCCTCGGTGGTGCAGTCGCAGCCGCTGGGGGGGGCCAAGGAGGAGAAGCTGCACTCGCCCGTGATCCGCACCGAGACCTTCAGCCCCCCCCTGCGCCAGGAGCCCCCCAAGGGCCACCCCGAGGGCATCAAAGCGGCCCCGCACCTCCCCCAGCGTGAGTGCGGCCACCCCGGGCACGGGGCACCCCAAAAAGCAACGGCTCTGGGGTCAGCCTGCCCAGGATTCCCACTGGGGTCTGAAATCCCCACAATTCCCAGGTTTTGGGATCTGAAATCCCCTGAATTGCCAATTTTTGGGACCTGAAATCACCAGAATTCACAATATTTGGGATCTGAAATCCCCAGAATTCCCAAGTTTTGGGATCTGAAATCCCCTGAATTGCCAATTTTTGGGATCTGAAATCCCCTGAATTGCCAATATTTGGGACCTGAAATCCCCTGAATTGCCAATTTTTGGGATCTGAAAGCCCCAGAATTCCCAATTTTTGGGATCTGAAAGCCCCAGAATTCCCAATTTTTTGGGATCTGAAATCATCAGAATTCCCAGGTTTTGGGACCTGAAATCCCCAGAATTCGCAATTTTTGGGATCTGAAATCACCAGAATTCCCAATTGTTTGGGATCTGAAATCCCCCGAATTGCCAATTTTTGGGACCTGAAATCCCCAGACTTCACAATATTTGGGACCTGAAATCCCCTGAATTGCCAATTTTTGGGATCTGAAAGCCCCAGAATTCCCAATTGTTTGGGATCTGAAATCACCGGAATTGCCAGGTTTTGGGACCTGAAATCCCCTGAATTGCCAATTTTTGGGATCTGAAATCACCAGAATTCACAATTTTTGGGATCTGAAATCCCCTGAATTGCCAATTTTTGGGATCTGAAAGCCCCAGAATTCCCAATTTAGGGATCTGAAAGCCCCAGAATTCCCAATTTTTTGGGATCTGAAATCACCAGAATTCCCAGGTTTTGGGACCTGAAATCCCCAGAATTCGCAATTTTTGGGATCTGAAATCACCAGAATTCACAATTTTTGGGATCTGAAATCCTCAGAATTGCCAATATTTGGGACGTGAAATCCCCATCATTCCCAATTTAGGGATCTGAAAGCCCCAGAATTCCCCATTTTTTGGGATCTGAAATCACCAGAATTCCCAATTTTTGGGATCTGAAATCCCCAGAATTCCCAGTTTTTGGGATCTGAAATCCCCAGAATTCCCAATTTAGGGGTCTGAAAGCCCCAGAATTCCCAATTTTTTGGGACCTGAAATCCCCAGAATTCCCAATTGTTTGGGATCTGAAATCACCAGAATTCCCAGGTTTTGGGACCTGAAATCCCCAGATTTCTCAATTTTTGGGATGTGAAATCACCAGAATTCCCAATTTTTGGGATCTGAAGTGTCCAGAATTCCCAGTTTTAGGATCTGAAATCCCCATCATTCCCAATTTTTGGATCTGAAATCCTCAGAATTCCCAATTTTTGGGATCTGAAATTCCCAGAATTCACAATGTTTGGGTTCAAAACCTCCATAGTTTTCAATTTTTGGGTTCACCACTCCCAGAATTCCCTTTTTTGGGATTCAAAGTCCCCATCATTCCCAATTTTTGGGATCTGAAGTCTCCAGAATTCCCAATTTTGGGACCACAAATCCCCAGAATTCCCAATTTTTGGGTTCAGAGACCCCAGAATTCCCAGTTTTGGGTTCGGAATTTCTGATTTTGGGGCCATAAATTTTCCAGTAATTCCCAATTTTTGGGTTCCAAATCCCCATAATTGCCAATCTTTGGGTCCCAAAATCCCCAAAATTCCAAATTTCGGTCTCGGCCCCGCTGATGCCGGGTTTTGCGCTTGCAGGGCCGGAGCTGAAGCCCCTGGAGGGGGGAGGACCCCGGCCCAGCCCAATTTGGGATCTGAGACCCCCAGAATCCCCAATTTTGGGGTCAGAATTCCCAATTTTGGGACCATGAATCTCCATAATTCCCAAATTTTTAGCCAGAATTCCCAAATTTCGGTCTCGGCCCCGCTGATGCCGGGTTTTGGGCTTGCAGGGCCGGAGCTGAAGCCCCTGGAGGGGGGAGGACCCCGGCCCAGCCCAATTTGGTCGGGGGGGGGTTGGGGGTCCCAGGAGAAGTTCCAGAACCTTCCACAGGTTCTTCCATGAGGTGCCACCAGGCTCGGGGGGGGTTTGGGGGTCCCAGGGAACCTGGAGAAATTCCAGAACCTTCCACAGGTTCTTCCACGAGGTCCCACCAGGCTCGGGGGGGGGTTTGGGGGTCCCAGGAGAAGTTCCAGAACCTTCCACAGGTTCTTCCATGAGGTGCCACCAGGCTCAGGGAGGCTTTGGGGGTCCCAGGGAACCTGGAGAAGTTCCAGAACCTTCCACAGGTTCTTCCATGAGGTGCCACCAGGCTCAGGGGGGGTTTGGGGGTTCCAGGGAACCTGGAGAACATCCAGAACTGGTCTGGGAGCTTCCAGAGGTTCTTCCACGAGGTCCCACCAGGATCAGGGATGGGTGTGATCCAGGGGGACCTGGAGAACTCCAGGGTTGGGTCTGGGAGAAGCCCCTGAGACCCCACCAGGCTGAGGGACCTGGAGAATTCCAGGATTTGGTCTCACAGAAGCTCCTGAGATCCCACCAGGCTGAGGGACCTGGAGAACTCCAGGGTTGGGAGTTCCCACCCTGAGATCCCACCAGGCTGGGGGAACTCCAGGGTTGGGTTTGGGAGAATCCCCTGAGACCCTTCCAGGCTGAGGGATCTCCAGGGTTGGGTCTGGGAGAATCCCCTGAGATCCCTCCAGGCTGGGGGAACTCCAGGGTTGGATCTGGGAGAAGCCCCTGAGATCCCACTGGGCTGGGGGATCTCCAGAGTTGGATCCGGGAGAAGCCCCTGAGATCCCACCGGGCTGAGGGACCTGGAGAATTCCAGGATTTGGTCTCACAGAAGCCCCTGAGATCCCACCAGGCTGGGGGACCTGGAGAACCCCCTGAGACCCCCTCCAGGCTGAGGGATCTCCAGGGTTGGATCTGGGAGAAGCCCCTGAGATCCCACTGGGCTGGGGGAACTCTGGGGTTGGATCTGGGAGAAGCCCCTGAGATCCCACCAGGCTGAGAGATCTCCAGGGCTGGATCTGGGAGAACCCCCTGAGATCCCACTGGGCTGGGGGATCTGAAGAACTCCAGGGTTGGGAGTTCCCACCCTGAGACCCCTCCAGGCTGAGGGATCTCCAGGGCTGGCTCCAGTTCCTCAGGACAAAGCCATGGGAGCATCCCATGGGGGCCACCTCGGCTCTGGTGCATCCCAGAGCCGGTGGTGACCTCGCGGTGGCCCCGTGGTGACCCCGCGGTGGCCGCTGTCTCCGGCAGGACCTGAAGATCAAGAACATGGGCTCGTGGGCGTCGCTGGTGCAGAAGCACCCGGCGGCGCCGGCGGCGGCGGCCAAGTCCTCGAGCGACTCCTTCGAGCAGTTCAAGCGGGCGGCGCGCGAGAAGGAGGAGCGCGAGAAGGCGCTCAAGGCCCAGGCCGAGCAGGTGGAGCGCGAGAAGGAGCGGCTCAGGCGGGAGCAGGAGAGGATGAGGTGAGGCCACGGCCGCGGCCACCGGCAGCAGCTGCAGGAGCTCCACAGACACCGCCAGGAGCAGCACCAGGAACACCACAAACACCAGCAGGGACACCATAAACACCACTGGAGACACCATAAACACCACCAGAGACACCAGGAACACCACTGGAGACACCACAAACACCACTGGAGACACCATAAACACCACTAGAGACACCAGGAACACCAGCAGGGACACTACAAACACCAGCAGGGCAGGAGAGGATGAGGTGAGGCCACGGCCGCGGCCACCGGCAGCAGCTGCAGGAGCTCCACAGACACCGCCAGGAGCAGCACCAAGAACACCACAAACACCAGCAGAGACACCAGGAACACCAGCAGGGACACTACAAACACCAGCAGGAACAGCACCAAGAACCCCACAAACACCAGCAGAGACACCAGGAACACCAGCAGGGACACTACAAACACCAGCAGGAACAGCACCAAGAACCCCACAAACACCAGCAGAGACACCAGGAACACCAGCAGAGACACCAGGAACACCACTGGAGACACCATAAACACCACCAGAGACACCACAGACACCACCAGGAACAGCACCAGGAACACCACAAACACCAACAGGGACACCAGGAACACCAGAAACACCCCGAGGAACTCCACAAACACCAGCAGGGACACCAGAAACACCAGCAGGGACATCATAACCACCATCAGATCCTTCACAAACACCACCAGAGACACCACGGACACCACCAGAAACACCACCAGGAACTCCACAAACACCACCAGAGACACCACAGACACCACTAGGAACACCACCAGGAACACCAGAAACACCACGAGGAACTCCACAAACACCACCAGGGACACCAGAAACACCACCAGGAACATCATAACCACCATCAGATCCTTCACAAACACCACCAGAGACACCAGGAACTCCACAAACACCACGAGAGACACCACAAACACCATCAGAGACACCAGAAACACCACCAAAGACACCAGGAACTCCACACACGACATCTGGAACACCACAGACACCACCAAGAACACCACAAACACCACGAGGACAACCACAAGCACTCCGGCCAGTCCCTGACTTGTGTCCAGTTCGTGGTCACTCCTGGTCACTCACTGGTCACTGTGGTCACTCAGTGGTCACTCAGTGGTCACTCTGGTCACTCCCCAGGTCCCGGGAGGACGAGGAGGCGCTGGAGCAGGCGCGGCGGGTGCACGAGGAGGGTCTAGAGCAGTGCAGGGTCCTGGTCACTGATGGTCAAAATCCTGAAAATGGGGGGAAATGGTTGGGATGTTCCCAAAAAATCCCGAAAATGGGTCCCAAAAATGGGGGGAAATCGTTGGGATGTTCCCGGAAAATCCTGAAAATGGATCCCTGAAAATGGGGAAAATAAGCAGGATATTCCTGAAATGACCCAAAAAAAGCCACAAGAAATTACCCAAAAGTGACACCAAACTTGACTTTTAAAGTGCCCCAAAAAAGCCAGAAATTATCCCAAAAATGCCCAAAAATAGCCAAAAATGCCTCAAAAAAGCCCAGAAATGACCCAAAAAAAAGCCAAAAATTACCCCAAAAATCCAGAAAATACCCAAAAAATGACCCCAAAAAATCCTGAAATGACCCAAAAAAAGCCCCAAAAGTGACACCAAAATTGACTTTTTCAATGCCCCAAAAAAGCCAGAAACGATTCCAAAAACTCAAAAAAAAAGCCAAAAATGACCCCAAAAGTCCCCAAAAATAGCCAAAAATGCCCCAAAAAAGCCCAGAAATGACCCTAAAAAAATCCAGAAATTACCCCAAAAAGGCCAAAAATTACCCCAGAAATCCTGAAATTACCCAAAAAAGCCCCAAAAAATGACCCCAAAAATCCAGAAATGACCAAAAAAAGGTCCCCAAAAATGCCTAAAAAAAGCCTGAAATGACCCCAAAAAATCCTGAAATGACCCAAAAAAACCACAAGAAATTACCGAAAAAAAGCCCCAAAAGTGACACCAAAATTGACTTTTTCAATGCCCAAAAAAAGCCAGAAACTATTCCAAAAAATAAAAAAAAAGCCAAAAATGATCCCAAAAATGCCCCAAAAAAGCCCAGAAATGACCCTAAAAAAATCCAGAAATTACCCCAAAAAGGCCAAAAATTACCCCAAAAATCCTGAAATTACCCAAAAAAAAGGAGGGGAAATTGACAGAAATTGGGAATTTAAGGTCAAATTTGGGAGATTTGAGTGGAAATCGAGAATTTAAAATCCAAATTTGGGAGATTTGAGTGGAAATTGAGAATTTAAGGTCAATTTTTGGAGATTTGAGTAGAAATTGACAGAATTAGGGGATTTAAAATGCAAATTTTTTTTAAGATTGAGGTGGAAATTGACGGAAATTAGAATTTTTTAATCCAGTTTTTTAAGATTAAAGTTGAAACTGAGAGAAAAATGGGAATTTTAAATTTAAATTTTGAAGGTTTAAGCGGAAATTGGCGGGAATCGGAATTATTCAATTCAGTTTTTGAAAATTTAAGTTAAAATTGGCAGAAATTGGGAATTTAAAGTCCAGAGTTTGGAGATTTAACTGTGAATCGACACAAATTAGGATTTTTAAACTCAAATTTTGGAGATTTAAGTGGAAATTGGCAGAAATTTTTTTAAAAGTTGAAGTTTTGACGTTTTAAAATCGAAATTTAAACTAATTTTTTTTGTCAGTCTTAAAAACGCCGAAATTCGACCTGAAATGGTCAAAAAATGAAATTTTAAAAGGTGAAGTTTGGGAATTTTGAGGTCAAAATTGACAGAAATTGAGATTTTGATTTAAATTGAATTTTTTCAGTTGGATTTTTAGATTTTTTTTTAAGGTTTAAATTTGTGGAAAGGGGGAAAGGAAAGGGGAAAAAATGGGGGAAAATTGGGGGGAAATAGAAAAATTAGAAAGACAAAAAGAGGGTTAAAATAGCCAAAAATTAAAAAAAAAAAAAAAAAAAAGGGGGGAAAAGGGAAAAGGGAAAAAAAAAAGAAAGAAAAGGGGGAAAAAAAGGACTCATCATACCTCTGCGAATCCAAGAGAACATCAACCCTATTTACCTCAGAGACACTTTGGAGCAGGAGCCAAATTACTTGTGAACTTTTCTCACTGAAGTATTTGAGGATCTGGCCTCAGCATGCTTTTGTGGCTTCAAGTTTATATTATTACAAAATAGTATTTTGTAATAATATATCCTGAGAATGATTTGGAAAGTAAAAGCAGGAACTAGTGGTATAACCCAACAGGACAATATCATAACACCCCCTCAGCACTGTGCTGTATTCCTGCCTATCAAGTAAAGTTGTCTGTGATTTAAAAGCACCATACACGATCCTGTGGATTTGCTTCAAACCAGAGGGCTGAAGGACTAGAATAGGTTAGATGGCAGAAAAATTCATACCCAAGAGGGGAAAAAATTGGCATCTTATAAAAGGGTGGTATGGGGAGCCTCAGATGTGCTGAATATGTGGTAGTTTCTTTTTGCTGCTTTCCAGAGTCTTTCTGATGTTCTATGTAGGGTCATAATTTAAATTATCCTTTCTAAAAGTGTAATCACAATAAAATATAGGGACTTGACAGAAGCAAGGGAATTGGAATAAAGAAGCCTCATATTTGGCCTTGCTTTTTGGTAATGAGCCTCCAGAACACTTCCTCCTCTTTTCCAATGTCTCCAAAATGGTGGATCTCAAAGAGCTTGGTCTTGAAAGCATCTCTCACTCCAGCAATGGGAAATAATGACTGCTCTGGCTTCTGCATGTAGGAGTTTGAAGATATTTGTTTTGGTTTTTGTCTCTTTTTAACATCTAAATAAGAATAATTTCTGTCTGAGTACCGTTCTCTTAATTCAAATATGAAGAATTTGAAATGTTTGAACATAGAGACTAGTTGGGGTACATTTCAAGTCATTATGTAGCCAGAGAATGTGTATCTGGAAAGATGATTATCGAAGAAAAACAAATGTTAGCTATTCTTCCTTGGATAGAGGAGCAGGATATGTGTTCTCCTTATCATCCCAGTAATTTATAGAGGAAAGCTGCTCTCCCAGTGATAAAAACCCTCAATATGCCAGACCTGGAGAATTGTCCTCCCTCTTAACACATTCTCCAGAGAGAATACATTGCCACCTTGTTTTCTTTTATTCCCCCCCTTCCTACTTCCTTACTATTCTTAAACCCTCAGAGATCATTTTGTGGGGAAAAAAAAAAGCCCAAAAGCATCTGCATTAACTCAGGCATTGGGAGCTCCAATTGTGAGACAGCGACTTGTCTGTCTCGAGTCTTTTAGGAAGAGCTACACACTAAAAATGGTATTGAAAAACACTGATTTGCAGTATAAATCAGGGATTTTTAAACTCAAATTTTGGAGATTTAAGTGGAAATTGGCAGAAATTTTTTTAAAAGTTGAAGTTTTGACGTTTTAAAATCGAAATTTAAACTAATTTTTTTTGTCAGTCTTAAAAACGCCGAAATTCGACCTGAAATGGTCAAAAAATGAAATTTTAAAAGGTGAAGTTTGGGAATTTTGAGGTCAAAATTGACAGAAATTGAGATTTTGATTTAAATTGAATTTTTTCAGTTGGATTTTTAGATTTTTTTTTAAGGTTTAAATTTGTGGAAAGGGGGAAAGGAAAGGGGAAAAAATGGGGGAAAATTGGGGGGAAATAGAAAAATTAGAAAGACAAAAAGAGGGTTAAAATAGCCAAAAATTAAAAAAAAAAAAAAAAAAAAGGGGGGAAAAGGGAAAAGGGAAAAAAAAAAGAAAGAAAAGGGGGAAAAAAAGGACTCATCAAAAAAAAGGATTAAAATAACCAAAAATTAAAAAAAAAAAAAAAAAAAGGAGGGAAAATGGAAAAGGAGAAAGAAAATGAGGGGGGAAAGGTGAAAAAATAGGAAAAAAAAGGTCAAAAATTAAAAATAAATCAAAACTGGGAGGACAAAAAGGCCCCAAAGGACGCGAAAGCGACAAAAAAGGCGAAAACTAAAAAGGAACAAAGGCGGAAAAGCCAAAAAACGCCGCAAAAAGTTGAAAAAATGGAGAAAAAAACCCAAAATTTAAAAAAATGTCCCGAAACCACGCCCCCATGGGGGTGCAGGCCACGCCCCTCGAGCCCGGTGTGGTGACATTTGATGGTGACAAGGACAGCGTGACAGGAGCGCCCCCTTGGGGACAGGGACACCCCCGTGTCGTGACAGCTCGTGACAAGGACACCGTGACAGGGACGGGGACAGGGACAGCCCCATGTCGTGACAGCTCGTGACAAGGACACCGTGACAGGGACACCGTGACAGGGACGGGGACAGGGACAGCCCCATGTCGTGACATGTCGTGACAAGGACACCGTGACAGGGACACCTGACAGGGACACGACAGCCCCATGTCGTGACAGCTCGTGACAAGGACACCGTGACAGGGACACCTGACAGGGACACCCTGGGGACAGGGACACTGGTGACAGAGACACCCCGTCGTCGTGACAACCCCTGGTGACAAGGACACCTCATTTATGGGACACCCCAGTGACAGGGACAGCCCCATGTCGTGACACGTCGTGACGGGGACACCTGACAGGGACACTCTGGTGACAGGGACATTTATGGGACACGCCGGTGTTGTGGCGTCTCGTGACAGGGACATCACGACAGGGACACCCTGGGGACAGGGACACCCTGGGGTCACCCCCCGGGGTGGCACCTCAGGGCTGTGGTGGTGCCACCCTGCACCACCCAGGGGACACCCAGGGGACGGTGACACCCAGAAGGTGACACCCAGGGGGTGGTGACACCGGGGATGGTGACACCCTGGGAATGGTGACACCCTGGGAATGGTGACCCACAGGGGTCGGTGACACCCAGAAGGTGACACCCAGGTGGTGGTGACACCGGGTATGGGGACACCCTGGGAATGGTGACACCCTGGGAATGGTGACACCCAGGGGACGGTGACACCCAGGGGACGGTGACACCCTGGGGACAGTGACAGGGGACGGTGACACCCAGAAGGTGACACCCAGGGGGTGGTGACACCGGGGATGGTGACACCCTGGGAATGGTGACACCCTGGGAATGGTGACACCCAGGGGACGGTGACACCCAGGGGACGGTGACACCCTGGGGACAGTGACACCCAGAAGGTGACACCCAGGGGGTGGTGACACTCGGGACAGTGCCACCCAGACAAAAGTGACACTCGGGGGGCTGGTGGCACCCTGGGGACGGTGACACCCAGACAAAGGTGACACCCAAGGGATGGTGACGCTCAGGGGGTGGTGGCACCCTGGGGCACCCTGACAGTGCCACCCAGATGGTGCCACCCTGGAGATGGGGACACCCAGGGGACGGTGACACTCAGGGAACAGTGACATCCAAGA